GGGTAATTTTTAGGTATTAAAAGTTATAAGAGAATACAGAAAAATGTAAATTAATAGCGATAATAGAATCTATTATAATCAGAGTAAACCTGTTCAAATCTAAATTTATAACGCTATAATATTGATTAGAAATTCTATCTTGTCTTCTTAAGCTTTTAAAACTGTTAACGTCAATCGTCTAGTCTATTACTGATAAATATTGTATATATACAAAATATCCTTGTAAAAATCAAGAGTTTTAGTCTTGTTTCATTGTCTCATAGAACGAATATAACTAAACGACAGTATTCTCTATGTTCGTTCGATTATTAGTCCTTTTGTCATTAAATATTTCGCAGTGGCTATATTAGATTTTAATATTTATCGGTTAAGAGCATCTTTACTCCCGATTGTTGATAAATCACTTGTCACACGTTTAATCCGAGATATGGCTTGCAAACAGTACTTTTAGTTAGAATTGCTGATACTACACAGTTAAGCAAGATTTTACGACTTCCATATACATTGAAGATACGTATCGATCTGTTTTTGGATAGGTATAGGTAGAGTTTTATTAGAACATTGGAAGTAAAATCGTGAAACGTTGATTTTGCGATTAAAATAATGTATCGCGATTATTAATTAATTACTTATTAGAAAATAGCATATTAAAGGTCGATCATAAATTAAATATTTTTCATTGAATGATTCAAATTTAAATAACAAAATTGAATTTGAAATTTTTATTCAAGGAAATTGCATTATGTTTTAAAATTGACATAAAAACATATTTGGTCACCTTATGAAAATAGTAATTGTTCCTTTTAATAATGTTTTTTTAATTGAATGCTGTTTTAAGAAAATAGTATAATTTGTTCTTAACATTCAATATAATTTATTGGTTGTTGAAAAAAAAAAAATAAATAAATACAGTATAAATAAAGTACTACATTTATCGAAAATCCTTGAAACACTTTTTTTTAAACAACATTAATATTTACAATTTAATTTTAGATACAAAACATTATATTACAGTTATTTGATGAATAAATTTTAATGTTGTCAAAATGAACAGCAATATAACATTTACACAATGTAGTTACAGGAATGCATTTAATGTGAGAAATTATGTATTAGTTTACGCAATGCATACGCGTTGAGTGACAGGATAAAGACAGTTATAAGTTTCCATTTAGAATATTTACTTCATTTCAGTGATAAATATCACTTGAAACTATCATACGATATTGATTTAAGTAATATCTCATGTATCTTTTAAAACTTTTAGACGGAAATACAATGTATTATGATAATTTTTTATAGTTTATCACTTACGACAACGGAAAGTCTTAAATATGTAATAAGTGTGTGCCAGTTACAATGACGTACACATATACAAGGTGTGTTTATTTTTATTACAAAGTTGAATGCTTATTGCTCCAAAAGTAATTAATTAAATTGTAATAAAAATGGAAATATTATACTATGGGGATATAAATTATATATTATTTCCGATTATATTTAGTTAATTGTTGATCAAATTTGAGATATACTGTTTGGTGAAAGAGATCCATAAGGGATCATATGATTATGCAAAAAACCTTGACCGTCGGAAAAAGGGTGAACATTTACGGAGAAAGTTTTGTAAAGTGCCCCAAAACAAGCAAAAAAAGGTAACAAAAAAAAAAAAAAAAAAAAAAATGAGGGACTCGTTGCTTTGTTATTTTTTTCTTTATTATACGAAGCTATTTAATTAATAAAAATAATACGTAATTTATGTATTAAAGACATAAATATGAAAATAGTATACGAATATATAAGTGCACTCGCGTATGTATGCGTGCATATTAAGAAAAATGTAATATAATCAGGTGAAAGGTATAAAAGAACTAAAAAGGTTTATTTGGAATCATATATGTATCAAAGGTGCTATAATACTTTTTTACCAAACAACCAAAACGGAAAACGCTTTGAAAATTGTCAATATTTGAACAGTATTTTCTACATTTAAGCGAATAAAGCACTAAGTCGTAATAGAAAAAGTTAGAAAAAGACGTGCTTTGAAAATATTTTATAAATAGTAAAAAAAAAAAAAAGAAAAAAAAAATGATAAGATTTCTCTTTCATTTATTCATTTTTTAAAAAATTTCTTGATTATGCTTAGTTATTATTATGAAAGAAATACGTTGAACTGAAAATAAACCAGAGACTGAAAAGCTTTAGTGCAGTGATGTTTATAATTTGTATTTAGAATTATTTATAGTACGCTTGTGAATTAAAAATACTTTTTATTGAATTTACGTCTCAAATAAAATATCGCTCATTATATATATATATATATATATATATATATAAATAAACTTATCTATTTCTTTATTCGTTCGTTCTTACCATGCTCCCAGATCTTTTTATTCGATTTATTTAAGGTTAATTTTTAACAATTGTTATGTAATTAGCGTAAAGTATACGAAAGAAATTTTCAGTGCAAAAAGAATAGAGATTGATAAAACGAGAGCTCATGGACATAAACTTTTATATCAATGTAACATACACATTTACGCATGTTCTTTAATTTTTTATGTATCTGGAAAAGAAAAAAAAAACATCGATCAATAAGATAGGCACGTGCTTTACAGAAAAAGTATAGTCTTGAGCGTCGAGAATGAAGAAACTTCTCGATAATGGATATTCCAAGAATAAATAAAAGATCATTATCTTGCTTGAGAATTTTCAATCTTCTTAAGGACATATATTTAAGTAAAATTAAGTTGTTAAATTATTTCGCGAAATTTAATAAAGCTTTAATAAATTTATGAATTTTTATTGAAATTGTCTAATCGCAAAGAAATTAATAAAGTAATATTTCTTATGAACTATAATTTGCTTCTTTTTTTTTTTATATCTTTACAAAATTCAAGATGTTGTGAATGTGAAGAGGCACAAATTTTCATTTCCAGTAATACGTTTATGTAACATACTTGTTAAATTTACACTGGCTTAATTTTGAATGGACTATCCTGATTAATTTTTAATAGTCGTGTAATTGTTTTGGTACATAGTTTGGTATCAATAATAACATTAGCTTTTATTTTATATTAAAATGCAATATTCGATAAATTTTTAAAACATTATATTAAAGTAGAATATCCTCACGTATTTGTTACAGATCATTAGTTATCCACGCGTGTTCGCTACATTATCTCCTCGTCCGCAATAGTAATTATAATTTTGTTTTTTTTTGTTTTTTTTTGTTTTAATATAGATTAAAGTATTATTCAATATGTAATACTTCAGTAGCTCGATATGTTTTGTAATATTATAAAAAATAATATTACAAATAACAAAAAAAAAACAACAACAAAAAAAACAGTATTATAAGATACGAGTATTATAGTATCATGATTAATTATTGAAATTATTTCGAATTAAAGAATTTGTCTTTTAAAATAATGATGGATTTAAAAATTAAATTGAATTTAAAAAAAATATCATTTATTTTAGCATTTTGATATTAAATAAATTTCATTAATAAATGAATTATAAATAGTAAAAATACTAAAGTTTTTACTACAAGTGTTTTTAAATATTATTTCCTATATATAATAAAATGGGTAGAATAATATTAAACATATGTTTTTATAAAAAAAATTTAACAAAATAGCGAAAAAATACGTTGTGACGATTGTGTGATGTTGTTCGTTAAAAAATCCCATTAAATTTTATTGTTTTCGTAATGAATTTGTTTCATATACAAGTTATTTTAATTTATATTTATTAAATAATTAATCTATTATTTTCTAGGAATATGAATTCGCAAAGGAATTTATATTATTAGATTGTAGGAAGATCCAGTTCATTTTGATCTACACACAGGTCGTTAGTTGTGAATGAGATACTTAAAACATAATGGAAGTCCTAGGTGAATAATTATTATAGCTTTAATCTACAAAACTTAATTCTCATATATTCTAGAATTATTTACAATTTAATTATACCACATACTTCACTTCTATGGAATATGATTCACCAATACCATTCACGTTTATTGTTAAATCCTAATCCCTGCTTCATTCAACCAGCTGTCATTCAATTAGTATTAAAAATTTTTTAATAAAAAGCATATGTAAAAATGATTTTTTACAGTAAGTTAAATACAGTTTATGTATTACAATAATTATGAATCTATAACAGATATTTATTTGTGCTGTGAATCTATTATAATGGAAAATGAATTTATATACATGATGAGCCGAATAATTGAATTAGAAAGGGACACAAGGAAGCCAGGGAAAATATTAAGCTTCGTCGATGAAAAGTTGTTTTTCATGTAAAAGTATATGATTATTAACATAATAATTTTTTATTTTAAAGTATATATTGTATAAATAATACGAATAGATTAGTCATTCGAAATACATCATTAAATGAAATATATAAGACAGTAATAACGAAATTAATTTTATTTACCCATTTTGATAGTACAATAATGTGAATATACTTTGAATATTTACCAAATATTTCATATTTAAATTTACAAGACAATATTTCAGCTAAAACATATATGGGAAATCTGTAAAATTACTTATGATAACTATCGGAAGTATTTCATTATCTTAAAATTAGTATTTTTCATATCAACACACGCGTTGCACAAACGTTGATTTTTAAAAAAAATAATCATATATATATATATATATATATATATATATATATATTATTGAATGAAAACACAATTATTACAATATTAAGTTAATTGTATATTTCTGCGTTTAGAATAATTTAGACTATAAATTTTCACGCCAATTCTTATTCTGCAAAAAATCTCAAATACGTTATCATTGGAAGAAAATAAAAGCTAAAACGAGGCTAGCCCTTAGCGAACATGCTACTACCTAAAAGTCGAAAATGTACTAACTATAAAGTAAAACTTGGCTGAACTTTCATTGTTGAAGTCGATGAAAAACTCGTTGTATGTGGGTGTATAAGACCCGTATAAGAGAATCACACATACGTAACCGATGTCATTTCCACAATATTGCCCACCGGGGAATTTGAAAGGGAGTTCTCCGAGGAGATGTTGCGATAGAAGAATAGAAAAGAATTGGACTCACCTCAAAGCTGAGGATTCCGCTGTGATCGTGATCCAGGGTGTTGAAGACGTAGTGGGCATATTGGCTTGTGTTTGCTGAAAAGTAAATGTTATAATTATCGTTGGTGAGAAGAAAATGTTATTATACGAGGCTAATGCAAATACGAGCTTATCATTGTTTTTCATTTGTGCACATACAATGTACACGTACAATACTATGGCTTTTCTTTTTTTTTTTTTTTTTTTTCAAAGCATGGATATATGGTTGATAATAAAAAGAAAGAACCATCGTTTCATTAAAGTTGCGAAAGATATATATTTTTGTTCTTATTGCTAGTATTGTAATATAATGTATTGTAAATATTTTATGGATTATGGAATTAGAAAGACAAAGATGGCAAAAAATTCATTAAAAAATTTAAGTAAATACATTACTAATAGATTAAGTAGTATAATGTTTAAATAATTTGAAAAATAAAAATTATTTTATATAAATTCTTTGCCAGATTAATTACATTGAAAATCCTTATTCGATATATTATTTTTTTAAAATAATTCATATTTCTGAAACCTTGTAGATTATATTTTATATAAATCATTTATATAAATTTTACGATTGCCATAATTTATTTAAGTTTTTTTATTCTTTTAGTCTACTCATTTACTTTAAACTTGTACAAAGCGCCATATGCGAGCTGGAAGTTCAAAAACTGTTAATAACTTCCGGTTCAGGAATGCTTTTCGTCGTTGATTTTTAAGTGAAGTAAGTCTGTAGCTGTTAATCATCCGGTTAAACGAAAAACTTTAAGAAGTAACGATATTCGCTTATAATTTTATCTCAATTTTTTAAATCATTTAGTATATTTAATTATAAACTAAGTATTTATTTATAAATAAAGAATTGTATTTTAAATAATAGTAATTAAGTTTTCACATTTAATATAAATTATTTATTATTGAGTATAGTAGGAAATTAAAAAATGATTAATTTTATATCACTAATTATGATATTTTTAGATCCCTTTAACAAACTCCGCAAAGTAATAAATTGGATTATTAAATTTGATCTAGATTTTTAATTATATTTTTGATATTGCGCCATTTTACAATATTGACATTTACATTTACGTAATTAAATTTTAGGTAATAAGATGTGAGGATAACATATTATTATTTGTTATTATACATATAATCATATAATCATTATAACCATATTGAAATATGTTTATTTAAACAAATTTTATTCATTTTATGTAATTTATAAATAAATGCGTGTGCGCGCGCGTGTGTAAATAATAAATTTACTATAATTTGTGCAAATAGGAATTGATATTAATGAATTTTTTATTCATCTAAGTTTCAATAATTACAGCATTTGCTTTTGATAACGTTATAATAGAATTCCGTTCGCGATAACAGCAGGAAATACGCAATTGGATAGTCATTCCATAAATGTCTATACGTCTTAAAATATAAGTTTTTTTCATCTTGAGAAGAAAATCCATTCGAATTATAGGGTTATCTTTTGAGCCATTCTGAGAAAATTTCGAGAACAACAAAAGACTTGAATCGAAATATTACATTAATTCAGAATTTCTAAAGTTGTAGAATTTGATTCATACAATTGATATTCCATATTTGTGAAAACATTTTTTATTTTAATTTATTTGCAGAAAGAAGTTATAAGTTAGTAACTGGTAGAATGGAAATATATATATATATATATATATATATATATATATATATATATTTATATTATACATATTAAGAAGCGAATATAAAGGATATAACTATAGTTTTAATTTTAAGACTTTGGTTTTTTAATAGCAACGATAGAAAATTGTAGAACAAAATAAATAATAAATAAATAAAGCTTATGTTTCATTTAATATTACGTGGTATGTTATATTTTAAGCATATAAAGTAATAGAAGCTATACATTTGTAACAATAATACTACTTAAATAAACAAGTTAGTAAGACGATAATAGAAGAATTAAGTAAATAAAGAGGAGAGGGATCAATAGAATAAAGAGACAAGAGAAAAGAAGGAAAAGAGAAATAGTAATAAGGAATATTAGATAAGCTCAATCTATTAAATAAAAACTTTCTTTTAAATTATATTCTCTAATTTATAAATATAATATTATAATAGCAATATAATTTTTAATATCGGTTAATATATTTATACCTACATACATACATACATACATACATACATACATGCGCACGCGCGCGCGCGCATGCACGCACACGCATACGCCACGCACATATGTATATATGAGTATTTAGGGTACAAAAAGTACATTTAATTTTATAAATTTATATTTTAATTTATTCACTTAAATCAATAATTGATTTACTATTCATATTTTATATAAATATTATATTATAGATAAAATAATAATGTTGCAGAATGGATTATACTTAGCATAGTAGCAACGATTGTTATTCAAATCAGTGATTCAATTGGTTTTAATTTTTTTTAACCACATTTGTGTTGTTCCAAATATATTTTTATGTATTTACACTTATACTTACACATAAAATAAATGAAATATGTATACAAGTTTGTTTATTTAAACTTATGAAAATTTAATGTATTAGAAAATAGAAGGCTTCATATTATAATTATTTTAAAATTATGACAAGTAAAAATATTTCCATAAATATATTTATGGCTGTATTTTATTTTCAATACAAGCAAACGAGTTCTTTTTAAATTGTTACTTCAGAAGATGAGATTAAACATAGAATAATTTCATAAAATCCAGATAGTATACGTTGATATAATATTTAAGAAAAATATTTAATTATAATTATTTTATAAAAAAGGGATAGCAAGCAGTCAACATTATATAATGCACTATTCTAATATTCTTAATTATCAAATTATAGTATTTAATCGTCTCAATTTAGGAACGTAATTAAATAAAATACAATTTCCAAAATTTAACTGCATTCTTACAATGCAATTGAATGGTTTTTAAATTATTCTATTAGTTGATTTTTGAAGATGTCTTTCACGTGTCATATTTTTATAAACCACTTTTGTAAATAATCTTATTTTATTTTTATAGTTGCATATACTTTATTATTTAGCTGTGAGTCTGTGCAAGAGATTAGTTTTCGAAATTATAGGATATTTAAAATTAATTAATGTAAAATTATTTAGTATAGATTGTTATGTAGATTGAATAGATTTAAATAATTTATTGGAAGCTATTTAAATAAATCGTTTTAAGCAAAAATACTTAATTGATAATGAATGTTAAATAATATAAATAGAAAACTAGAATTTTGTCGGGCATATTATTTACTTACACTACTCATATTTCTCTTATTAATAATTCCATATGGAGCAACTGATCTCTATGATATATCAGAATTATAGAGAAGAAATTTTATTAAATAAAGAAGAAGAGAATAAAGGTTAAAATGCAATAAGCACTTTTTAAATATTTATCTATTTACATTGTCTCAATAATAAATGCTATACTTTTACAAAATTATCTAAACTTGAACGACGAATATGTGCAGATGTAAATTTAAAAACTAACTTTTACAAAGTTTTATATATATTAATTAGATTTTTGTTAAAAATTAATAAAAGAGAATGTTATATTTATATATGAATTGATAAAAATATTTTTAAAGTATTATTATTTGGTTTTAAGTTAGTATTTTAGTATTATTTATTTAACGTAATTTTAATTACAATTAATTTTTCGTTAATTTAATTAGTAATGTGACATGTTCAATAAACATTAGTTTATCAAAAAGTTTTTAAATATGAAACATAAGGGATAGATTAAAATTTTTAATTAATTAATTTAATAATAATATAACAAATCCTACACTTATTGCAATTAAAACTTTTCTGAAAAATTTAATTTTATCCATTCATTTTCTTATTTATTTGTCATTAATTTTTATTTTTCGTAAACCTAGTTTATATAAGAAGGAAATATCAATAACCATAAGTATGTTTTATAATGACTATGTGTACGTAATATACACTAGAAGTACATCATATTGCAAGAACATACGCGTCATAATGTCTTCTAGTCAACTAAAGTGCAAAACCTCATTCCCCGAAGCTTATGGGTTGAGAAAAGAATAAAAATTCTAGAATAGTGACAAGAAGCAAAGGCGGAAGTTAAAATTTAAAACATCAATATAAGTTCACAAGTAAAGATTTTGAAAAAAATCACATCATTTTATAATGTAACAATATTATTTATTTCTTGCAATATTTTGAGATATTTATCAACAAATATAATTTTTAATAAAGAAAATTATTTTTAACATCAGTAAAGAGATAGATAGTTTTATTAAATATCAATTTTGATATTACGTTTTTATATTGCTACATCCGAATATATTTATATACGAAAGAATAAAATATCCTTTATAGTTCTTAAATTCCTAAATTTTATGAATTTACTGATTGAAATTTAATATTGTCAATTATCAACATATTAAGGTAATATATGTTAAAAGTTGAAAAGAAATTGCGTTATTTACTTAAACTTAGGTAGTTAACTGTATAATTGATGTACTTGTATAATTTATGCTATTACATTGCACTATTTGTATTATATTTATCTTAAAAATTCAACTTTAAAGAAAATTATGTACAAAATTGAGAAAAGTACAAGTAAAACAATGCATCAGTGTTTATTGCGTATTATTTCTCAATATAATTATGAATCTTGCTTTTTGTGTTATCAATTAGTAAATTTTATTTGAATTTCTGGCTAATCTATCGTTATTAATCTATTAAAACTTTATTCATAAATCAAAGAAGATAACAATGAAAAATTTCAATAAAACCTCATTTTACATTTTATTAGGTAATAAGTTTTAATAATAAATAAATATGGTAATATAATTTTATTATATTAAAAAAAAAAAAAAAAAGAAAGTATTTTCTACATTAAAGTAAAACAATACTTTTTTCTATAATAATAAGTATAAAAAGTATTTATTAACAATTACATGTTCTATTAATTGTACCATTGGTATGCTTGAATTACAAAACAAATATGTATTTCACTAAGTACAGATTAAAATATAAATTAAAACATAAATAAGGGAAAAAATTATAAAATGCAATAGTTTAAGCTAATTTGAAATATTTGAAAGAAAGCTAATTTGAAAGAATAAAAAGCTATATATAAACTTATTGTTTTTAATCGTTGAGTTATATATTAATAACTGAATTCTGTTTCAATTTAATTCGGTAGATGAAAAAAATTTATAATCTTAAACTTGTAATTATTCTTCTAACGATTCGAAAGAGTTTTTAAAATTTTAATAAAAAAATTTCTAAAAGGAAAAATTTTCCTTTCATATTCGGTACGATGATTTATAATATTATTTACTTAAGTAATAAATTTCTGAACACAATATTTCTTTTATCATAATAAATATTACTGTACTTTATTTGTTTCACTTTATCTTAAATTAATATTGCAATTATTAAAAATAATATCATTATTTTTCAAATATTTCACCTGTATTACATTGTAATAATTGAATTATATTTATCTTTATATTTTAAACTACGATTTATAAGTGATTTTTATAATTCGTTTTCTCTCTCTCTCTCTCTCTCTCTCTCTCTCTCTCTCTCTCTCTCTCTGTGTATACTCTTTCTCTCTTTCTCCCTCGTTGTCTCTAATGTACCATCTTTTGTATTTTAGGAGGTAGTTTAGAGGTCAGGGTCACTCGTTCTTATATCGTCTCTGCCTCTAGTCGTAGTAAACGGTCTGCTTGCCCTTCTCTTAGAGCAATTTACCGTCAGTGCGCGAGCGCTAAATCATAAATCCCGAAAGGGTAGTGAATAGCATAGCAATGTGGCGCTGTACCTTTCAAGGGACGATCGATGGTACGTGTAAAGTTTCAACATAGTACGAGTGAGGGCCAGCAAGAAGAGAGAACGGCAAGAGAGTAAGAGTGAATGAATAGAGGGAAGGGGGAATGAATAGTAAAATAGAAAATGTGTAAGAAATATAAAAGTGGATCATGCGGTTTTATTTATCTGTTTGTGAGATAAAAATTATTATTGTTGAAATGGAAAAGTAGAGAAAAGGACAAATTCGATTACTTGAGAGGTAGATGAAAACATATAAGCCGATGATGAATTCAATCAGAATGAAATTAATAAAAATTGTGGAAAAGGTAAATATGTTACAGTCAAATAGAATTAAATAAACTTTTTACTGTGAAAGATGTTGCTGTATTTATTTTTCGTTCAATTTATCTCTGATCTGCTAAGTTTGAAATATTGATAAATTAAATTGAGACTTATGTATTGAGTTTATAAACAAAAAAGCCTATTTTAATTATTAAAATAGATGCATCTAAGATATTTTATTTCTAATATAATAAATGAATATAAAAAAAAAAAAAAAAAAAAAAAAAAAAAAAAAAAAAAAAAAAAAAATAAGATAAATAATACAGGGAAATGGATTTAAAAATCTTTATTTCTAAAATAAATAATTTATATTTTATCATTTTTAATTCGTATTAATTCTTAATTATTGTAATTATTATAAAGAAAATTTATAAAGCATGTTGAAATTATTAAATAAACTTTACAAAATATTTCTCAATATAAAATTCTTTAACACGATATGAAGGAAATAATGTTTTACAGGTAAAAGAAGAAATGTTATAATAATATGAAAAATATTTTTTTCCATAACTTCCAATTTTATTACAATTATAATATGAATATAATAATATGACGAAAAACAAAACTAAATATTATCATTGAACAAATTCAGTTAGTTTATTTATTCTTTTCGATCAATACTTTAAAAACATATAACCGATATATTCTCTATGAAGAGTGCAAAATTTTTCTTTGAAAAAAAAAAGCTCTTAAAATATATCTTACTATTTGCAGTCCAAATAAGGATTATTTGGATAATTCTTTAAAGCAAGTTTTATAAGTAATTCATTATTCATTTTTAATTGATATTTAAATTTATACTCTATTTGAAAAACGTACGTTGATTACATTATTAGCAAAATTTAGAATTATTGCAATATGCGCAATAATCAGGGTTAACTATACTTTGATTTTAAAGGGGATCCACCCGAGCCAACGATGTACATTAAGAATTTACAAGGCTTAAAGGATGCTTGAATTCTCGAGTGATTTTTGATAAATCTATTACGAAATTAAATTTTATTAATAGGTAAAACTAATATTAGAATTAAAGATTTTTTCTTTTTAATCTATAGATTGAAGCAGAAAAAAATTCATATTTATTAGAGTTACATTGATATTACAATAAAGATTTCGAAATAATTTATTGGTAGTTTAAACTATTTAATATGCAACTATATAGGAATGGCATATAAAGAGAATGTAAATATACATTTTTACTAAAATGAATTGTCCTTCGATACATTTTCAATAAGAAATTATTAACGACTACACAGATATTTTAATATACATGAGAGAACAGATAAATTATTATTTCAGATATATTTAATTATATATTATATTACTACTTAATCAATTGAATTAAAACCGAGTCTTTCCAAGTTATTTTTTCCCATTTGAAATAAAAATTGTAACCCCTTGTAGACTTAGGTACTCTCAATATCTCAGGAATCTATGTATTGATTATTAAAATGGCTATTATCATGAAACATTATTATCTTGTTATTTGGAAATTCTAGAAATTTCAATTAAATAAATTGGAAGTTTAAAAAGTAAAATTATTTCGGAAATTATAATCAAAATGCTTAATTCTATTTATGAATTTTTTCTAATAATTGTTTTCAACGAATCATAAGATTTATTAAATGAATGATAGAATTAAAAAAAACTTGTATTAAAAATTAAATAGATATATTTTAACGAATTATAAGTTTGTACTACTAATATGAATTAAGTATAGAATGAATATTGTTTATATTAAAGGATATTTTTTTAAATATAGAATAATGATGAAAAAAGTTTTTGCAACAAAAATTTGTTAACCTCAGATATAATAATATGACGTTATTATAACAATAATTATCGCATATAGTATAAAAAATCTAACAATGTAAAGGAAACTTAAGAATATAATTAATTTGATGAGAGACTGATATAATATTTATATGAAATGGTGAGAAAATAAATTATTATATTGTATTAAGAAGGAAATAAAATGTTAAAGTTTTATTGATATAATAATTAAATAATTAAATGAAAATAATATTAATATATCTTTTGCAAATTTACATGAATTTATTAATTTATTAAGGAAAAATTTTATTATTAATTATTATTATTAAGCTTAAATATTCATCGATTGCTTCCATATACAATAATGTTGAATAAAGAATGTTAATAATTTAATATTGACCAATTTATTTGATTTGAACGGTTTCATCGAATATTAATTTTCGAACTCTAAAAGCTTGGAGCTTAAAAACAGCAAATAATTTTCAAATCTTTCAAACAATTAAAACCTCATATATACTTAATTTTTATTAATTAATTTATGAAAAATATCTGTCATTTAATTAGGAAAATTAATTTTTTTGTCAATCATTATAGAGAAATTTAGAGACAATTTGTGCTTTGTAATTTTTCTTAATTTAGTTGAAAAAATGAAAATTTGAGCAAAAGTGTTTTTGATGATAGTACGAATGGATTATCATCTGGGACAAGAAATGTGTACTCTGAGTACAAATGGTTATATAGTTTCCGAAAAAGTTTTCCATACACATATATAAAACTTCAATGTTTTGTTGGTACTAAAATAAAGTTGTTGACTGGACTGGATTGAACGAGAGATTTTAAGCTTTTGAATTATGTCAAAAGAGCTGGATGAACGAAACTCTTAGATGAAATGAATATAAAAACTTTCCTCATGTTGGACGATAAGGAGAAATAGTTTGCACTTTATTTTATTGGTAGAAATGTAGTTGAATACGGCTGTGTTTACGCAGAAAAATTAGTTATATTATTGAAAGTAAGAGGCATTTATTTAATTGAAAAATTTAATCTACACACTACACATCGCTCTTGCCTTTATTTCGTATGGAAATTCCCTCTCGCAATAATTAAATTGTTAAAAATATTATCTTTCTAAAAATCATTAACATGACGGTAATAATAATCGGTAATGGCTTATTTTACATTAATAAACTTAATTTACCTCCTTGTGGGAAAAACTGCGAGTAAATGATTTTGAAGTTCTCCTCGCATACGACTCCTGTGGGACATTGGGCTTTAAAGCCTCGATATATCCGCTTCATTTCCGCTTCAGTAAAACGTGTCGCCCGACAAAGACTCGCAAGTGAATCTGGCCTGTATCTTGGCACTTGTTCCTCCTTATATTCAGAATCTGCAGGACATAGAAGCGCCGTAAAAGAAAAAATATTTCATTAATTGATATTCTTAAACATAATCATTATCTTGCCCTCGTATCTTTTACTTCTCTCTCTCTCTCTCTGTCTCTGTCTTACTCATTATTTTATCTTACTATACTTATTGTGCTAAAATTCTAAAATATAAAGCAGATGTATGTAGAATGGATGAAAAGTGACAGTATTGGTGCTCGGAGTTATTAACGAAAGTTTACAACAATTATTTACAAAACTTATAATAAACTATTAATTACTTTCTAGTATTTATTTAATACTTTCATTATATTGAAAGTGTAATATAATAAAAATTGTTCTTGTGTGCGATAAAATTTTATATGAAGTAGAATTTCTTTAAATGGAAATGAAAAATTTTTTAATAAAAGTATATGAAAAACGTTTTTTTTCTCAAAATATTCAATGTAGGATAATTTTCTAAACATCGGCTATTAAAACATTCATTATATTAATATTATTATTTATAACATTGATTATGGTGATATCTCATTTATTTATAATTTAAGCATTAAATTATAGTTCGACTGTGGTATATATATATATATATATATATATATATATATTTAGTGAAACATATAATAAATATATTTAACAATCATTATTTTTTTCACGAAATAAAATATCTTTTATATCAATTAAAATATTATTCACATTAGTTATAGTTTTAGTTATTTTAATTTGATGCCAGTAAGTAATAATGGATTTGTATGCATTTTGCAGTGAAGAAGAAAATATCAACACCTTCTATTTTTACGTTTAAGTGAAATCGTCAGTTTCACCCAAAGAAATTTATTAAAATAGATAATGTTATTTACAGTCTCACTTTTTATAGCAAAATTCCACATTAAATATTTTTATAATTGTATATTGATATTAATTTTTACAAAAATTTTATGCGACAGAAGAAACTGACTTAGAAGAAAATCAATTATTAATTTCATAATTTTTTAGTCTCTTTAACAAAGATAAAATTATTAGTCATAGAAATCTTTTAATTATACATCTGGATAAATTAATTATTTCCTTCCGAAGTATGAAAGATCACCATAATCTCTTTCCACATAGAAGGTAAATAAATAGCTTTTTTTTGGTAAAAGATTATGAATATAAATGAAATTTAAAATATACAATATGAATATATATAATTATGAATATAAAATAGATAAAACAGACTTATTGTATTTTATGAATTAGTTTATAAATTTTATAGTTATATGAATGTGGTATGATACAACGCATTGTTCCACGATATGTTAAAAGATAGTAGTTATTTTCAGCCAATGAAAATTAAAAAAAAAATTGTTTTCATTTATAGTACATAGATTGAAGAATTTTAAAAATATTCAAAGTAATTCATAAACATTAAAAATTATGCAAATGGAATAATGTAGAGTAAAGCCACTACATGTATAAATATAAAAAATTATTTGTAACGAAAGCAAATTCCAAAGTAGATCTTGTGCTTCGTGCAATTTTATTTTACTTATATAAATATTAAACATAATTAAAACGAATTACATGACTCATTATATAATTGTATAATAATATGCAAATATACTTGAGAAGTAACATTTCGTAATTATCATAATAATTAAAAGAATTTTTTTTTATTTTTATAAAGTGTATATATATATATATATATATATATATATATATATATATATACATATATATACTTTATAAAGATAAAAAAAAATAAAAAAAAAATATATATATATATATATATATATATATATATATATATATATATATATATATATATATACCTTCTAATATAAATCCCTTCTAATTTTACATAAAAAATAATATTGTAACTTGTAATAGAATACTAATATATTATACACAGAATATATTCTTAGTATTATTTTCGACATTTAAACATTTCTTTAAATCATATAAAATTGCATAATAATTTGTGCGTTATTGCAATTACTATGTATTACGTTAATATTTCAAATTATAATTCAATTATAATATAAATAATTTTTTAACTGAATAAGATCTTTATTTACTATTACATATCAATTTAATGATAATATTCATGTATATTTATTTATATTAATTATATATTTCAACATAATTATTATTGTCTATCAAACAAATTATCTAAAACAGATTAAAATATAATTACTTTTAACTTTTGAAAAATTTTTGTTTTCTGTAATTTTCACTTCGATTTAGTTTTTTATGTTCTAAATTCTTTTGCGATTTATACGAATAATTATACGAAGTAACTGGAGAATTTTCGATAATAATAACGAGTTATAGTTAAAATATGCAACTACTTATTACCAATTTATCATCATTATTTAATAATACGCAGGAGAAACATACCTGATTGTAATAAAATATAATCGTTTACTGTCCGAACGTTTATGATATCTGTATAAAATTTTATCGATATCTAATACATAGCACATTGCAATTATTTATATATCAATATATCATAATGAGAGATCTTGAAAAATGGAAGCTTCAATAAACTACAATCATAAGAAAAAACTCGGTATATCAAAGACGGTAGATTTATCCTTCACGTACAATTTCATTCGAATATCTCGCCTGGCTTCACTGAAGTATCAAGCAGTGGGAATAATTAAAGCTACATTATGTCTATCAATTTACACTTTCACACATACTACTAGAAAGCTGACGAACCGGCTACAGCGTAATTATTAGAATTCACCACTAAGAAATTTTGTGATAAAAAGGTAATTAATTATATGGTAAGGTTTACAATTTTTTAAAATACAGTATTAATTTATTTATCTTTGCTAAATACTGCACAACAATAATAAATATTAATGAAATTCTTACTATGTAATTATTAAAAAAAAAAGAAGTGTTTATTTCAAATATTAATGTCAAAGAAAATAAAATTGAAGTTTTTAAAAAATATTTCACGATTTTCAGTTAAAATGTTTTAATTAAAAATAGTTTTTATATAGTGTCCTAATAGTATAAAATTTTATTTATTAATAATGAATTTTAAATACAGATTGTATTACGTACAATTCTTTCTGTAGTTTATATTTTAATTAAATTATATAATAATAGTTTTATTTCTAAGGATATTTTGTTCAAATATTATAATTATGAATAAAAAAAAAAAATAAAAAAAAAAAAAAATCTCGGTGTAAAATACATTAATTCTACAATATTTAATTTATTACCAAAGAATATATTCCAAATGCCATTTTATTTTTATACAATTTAACTAAATCTTTTTGTTCTATTTTCACCCACATATCAGATTAATTTTTTTAGTAATCTATATTTGAAGAATATTTTTATTTTCGATATGTATTTACTTTACAAAAACATAAATACGAATTATCACTGAGTTAAAGATAAAAATTTTGTTTTGTACACACGAGTTATTCTTTTTATGTATATCGATGACGTAAAATACATTTTATAAGATAAAATTATTATCGTTTTTTTTTTTTTATAATTTATTTTACAGAATTAATATATGATTACATCTTTTTTATACTGTGAAATTATTAATGGTAATATTATTTTGACTGAACCATATATATATATATATATATATATATATATATATATATATATATATTTCTGTCAAATAAGTTAACGAAATACGTATACCACATAAATCTTAATTGTATTATTTGTAAATAAACAGCATTTCGTTATTAAGTATAAAATTTACTAATAGTAGCGATAGAAGAGATTACGTAAGGGACAGTGAAAAAAAGAGACATCCAATGGACACTTGCCAATATGCGAGCATCATCGAAAAATTGTCAATAGGCCTTCATTCCAAGTTTCGAATCAGAGATTTCTATCTTTTGCATAAATTCTACGTACTTGTAATTTTAATTTCATCAATTTTAATTAACTGTTCCATACACATGATATTTATTTACGTATCAGATAACTCTATTACTATCGATTCTCAAACAGAAAAAGACTAACCATATGTAATAATATATTAAATTATTCAAATATTTTACATTTCAATTTTCTCATTTTATTGTATTACTTTTAAAATTGATTTGAATAACAATTTTTCATTAAATTTATATTGATTAAAATAACATTTTTAAAAAAAATTGAATTTGCAGTTTTTCAAATTCCCGTTTTAAAACAAAAGCACATCATAATTAAATAAAGTGCGTAAAGTAGTTTTGAAACAATGGAAAGTATTTTAATTTGTAAATTTAAATAATATTTATTATTAATATACCGACTGTAAATTCATATCGATGACATTCAAACTTTAATTATTTAAGGGATCGAAATTTCAAGCAAACATTGATCATATTATAATAGTCAATGAGAAATTATAATTCGATAAATAGATAATATTTTAATCGTTTACATACATGATTAATTATCTTATCCAGTGTAGAAATATTTTTTAAAACGCTAATTTCTATACACTTTTATTAAAAATAATTTAAATTCAGTTTCCAATGTTTGAAAGTTTGAGATAAACTATATTAATTATATTTTAAGTATATTATTTACAAAAAATAGTTTAATTTAAATACAAAATAATTCATCAAAAATATACAAAATATCAATTTTTTTTTATTATTTTTTATAATAATATTAAATATTATTTAGATTTATAATACTTAAAATGATTGTTTTAATTTAAGTAGTATAAACTATTAGAATTTAATTACAAATCACTATTAATATTTAAAGAAATTTTTATATATTTTAAATAGCGATTTAAAAATTTGTTAGTATAAATGAAACTTAATATATTTACGTTAAATAAGTAATTTAAGAATTCATAAATATTATGCCTACAAATATTAAAGATGAACATTAGATAATTCCATGTTTCAAATGTATACGTAGATAAGTAATTCAAATCTTATTTCTAATTCAAATTGTCTAATTAAATTGTTGTAGTGTTCTAATTAAATTAATTAAAAATATTATCTGAAAATGATTAAAATATACAAATCTAATTATATTACTT